TTCATCTGCGCGGAGACCGCACCTCGATCTACCCGATTCTTACAAGTTCAATTAGTAATTATATTTTTTCAATACATTGAAGAGATTTATAAGAAATACGTAGTCTAACAATAGTGTGGGCGTGGAAGATAATTTATATTTTCTCAATACATTGAAGAGATGTGTAGCAAATACAGTCTAACAATAGGTCCTGGGGCGTGGAAGATGAGACTTGAAACTTGAGATTTTTGGCAAATATACAGTTGTTCTAATGAGGGATGGTCTTCAGTTGAATCTGTTGGCATATATTTTTTTTATTTTTTTTTATACAATTTTTTAGCATATCTCTATGTATTTATCTAGAGATGACTAAGTACCGACTAATATTTAACCAAAAGATGAATTTATAGTTATTCTCTAGGTATAATTATTCTAAGGTGTTCTCGAATAACGTAGTTCACACAACCATCCATACTTTTACACAAAGAGATGTAGTTTAATGGTTATATTTCATAATTCATCCTAAGAGATATGGGGTTCGATTCCCCACATCTCCAAATACTTTTAAACAAAATAATGTACCCGACAGGTGTTTTAAAATAAATATACTTAAAACAAGTGTTAATTAATAATATATCAATTCCTAGATGGCTCCGTAAATGAGTCCTCCACCGGCTCAATAGAATTTTTGTCTTTAGATATTCTTTAGGTAATGATTTACCTACAATTTTTTTCTTTGGGTAAAATTATTGTAAGCGGACTGGAGCATGCTACCATAGGGCTGCATACAAAAAGAGCGGCTCGCGAGCCCTCGAGTTAAGACTCAGCTCGAGTTCGAGTTTGACCGAACTCGAGTCGAGCTCGAGCCTAAATTTTGCATTGTCGGGTGATTTGAGATATATGTTGAATTACTAAAATACCATTTGTATATATATGTATCATAATATTAATATATGTACTTAATGGTAAATTTGCAAAACTGGTTGAAAAATTTTAATTTGAACTCGAGCATTTTGAATTCGAGTCGAGCTCGAGTCAAAACTCGAGCTATTGTATTTTTTATCGAGCCGAGTTTGAGCAGCTAAAAAATCAATCATGTTCAATGAGGTCAATGCTCGACTCGGCTCGGTTCGTTTGCAGTCCTATGCTACCATGAGACAAAATATAATCGTAGAAAGATTCGGTTTGGAACTCTTAGAGCATCTCCAATGGTATATTAATTGGAGAATTGTAGATGCTTTGGAACAAAAACCTTCCTCCAACAGTGGCTTTTTAATTTCTTCTTGTCATGATGTGACATGAGAGAGAATAAAAAATTGTAGAAGTCTGTCTACATGTGAAAGTCCTTCCAGAATGGATGACTCATTTTTTTTCGTCCTTTTTACTCTTTTTTTTTTCAATTAAAATCTATTATTACGTAAAGAACACAAAA